TTTTGATATGGACCAGTTTTAAAGTCTTTATTAACTTTGTTACAATATTGCTTCCGCTTTATGTTTCGGGTTTCTTGGCCACTAGGCATGTGGGATCTTAGCTCCCTGACCAGGGATTGAACCCAAGCCCCCTGCATTGGAAGGCGAAGTCTTAACCGCTGGACTACCAGGGAAGTCCCGAAACCGTGCACCTCTAAGACCCAGGAGTGGGTCTGCCCCACGGTGGCAACACCGACATGAGGAGCACTCGGAGGGGTGGAGTAAAGAGCAGAAGGGTGTCCCTGTGCTTCTTGAAACATAAAAACAGCTTTCGGGACTTCCCTGGTGGCTCAGTGGTTAAGAATCTACCTGCCAACGCAGGGGACACACGTTTGATCCCTGGTCCGGGAAGATCCCACATGCCGTAAAGCAACTAAGCCCACGAGCCAAAACAACTGAAGCCTGTGCACCCTAGAGCCTGCAGGCTGCAACTACTGAGCCCACGTGCCGCAACTACTGAAGCCGCGCACCTAGAGCCCACGCTCCACAACAAGAGAAGCCACCGCAATGAGAAGCCTGTGCACTGCAATGAAGAGTAGCCCCCGCTTGCTGCAACTAGAGAAAGCCCACGCGCAGCAACGAAGACCCAACGCAGCCAAAAATAAGTAAATAAAATTAATAACTTAAAGAAAAAAAAAACAGCTTTCAGTGCATCTCGGCTCAACCCAATAAAAGGCAGGGACAGCGGGCTTCCCTGGTGGCGCAGTGGTTGAGAGTCCGCCTGCCGATGCAGGGGACACGGGTTCGTGCCCCGGTCTGGGAAGATCCCACATGCCGCGGAGCAGCTGGGCCCGTGAGCCATGGCCGCTGAGCCTGCGCGTCCGGAGCCTGTGCTCCGCAACGGGAGAGGCCACAGCAGTGAGAGGCCCGCGTACCGCAAGAAAAAAAAAAAAAAAAAAAAGGCAGGGACAGCATTCATCACCTATGGAATGTGGCTTAGAAAATCTCCAGAGCTCAAGTAATGCCAATCGAAGGAAGAATCAGGACCTAAGTAATCAACTGTTTCTACACACTTTTGTCGTGTGTGTGTATGTACACTTTTGAATTGACAAATGCTGTGCAAACGTGACTAATAAAGCCCAGATGTGAATGCTTACGTTCCATTTTGCAACAGAAAGGTTTTGAGGCTTCCACTCTGCCTTAAGAAGCGATAAATTTTAAAATGCACAGCAACATGGTGATCTTGCTTGGTACAACCCAAAAACCCAAAGCTGCTGCGGACACCCAGCCCGTCTGTGCAGCTGCCCTGGAGTCGCCGCTCAAGAGTGACCCTGGTTGTGCCAAGCCACGGAGGACGCTGCAGCAAAGTGCAAACCAGCAAACGCCAAGGAGGTCAGCTCGATCTCGGGGCCGAAGCTGCCTCGTGCTGTGAGTGAGAGGCCCTATCCATGCAGCTTCTCGGTCTTGCTCACCCACAAAAGCGGAAGCCAGCAGGAGATACGTACGGCAGGTGTAAACATCTCTGTATTCCATGTGCTCGTAATCGGGAAGAATTTTCATGAAACGGCCCGACTTCACACGAGGGTTTATACCTGAACAGACACAGCAGGGAAAGGGCTGAAGATGGTTCTGCCTTCTCGACTGTAGAAACCATTTTCACAGGACTCAACACCTGTCCCTCACCGACATCACACGCTTCCCTACATCCTCGACCCCCAGAACCAAGCGGTTGCCAAGGAGGCAGGTCTGGCCAAGAAGGAATTGTGGTGACAGGTGCTCCTGTCAGTCAGTGATCCACACCAGGAACTCATGATGGCCGGCCCGCTCGGGACCCCCTCCGGGCTCTCTCCCCATCACCCACCACAATCAGCGGGGCTCACCGAGGTGGGAGGGCAGAGGTCGCAGCTCACAGATATTTGGGGTGGCTGTGTAGGGAACCCTGTGCCCCGCTGCACACCTGGCATTGTCCTTCACCTGCTGCACGTGTGTGTTTTGGTTTTGACAAAGGACCGTGTTTGCCAGCCTCCTAACTCAATCAGACCCCTTCACCCCTGGACTGAGGTAGCTGACTCTACCATCTAAGCAGGAACTAGGGACGACTGTCTTCTACCACCTATTCCAGAACCTAAGTGATTTTCTCCTGGATAAGGCCTTCAAAGCAAATTCACAGTTCCTGCACTGTGAAGATGAAAACTGAAGCTCGCTTTGGCCAGGGCAGATCAAACGCTCAGGGGTGCTGATAGCAGATCATATGAATCAGTCTCTGCATTTGGCAACCATGTTCAAGGGGTTAAGAACCAGCAGTCAAAGAAGTCTCCAGATGTCCTCCTTTGCCTCACGGTGTCCTCACCGTGGCCCTTGTCCCCTCTCCCTGGCCCACCTGGACCTCCCCCTCTCTCCTACTCACCTGCCCATCCACCTGTGTCCAGACGTCCCCTCCACAGGACAGATGCCACCAAGGCCCGGGCAACCCCTCTGCCCACAGCTGAGATGAGCTCTGTGGGGGCCTTCATTCTCACACGTGTTCTCCTCTGGGTGCTTCAGCCCCCAACACCTAGCAGGTACGAGCACCTGCCTCCCTCCAGGAGTATTTTGAGGGCTTACAACTCTTAGACAGAACTCAAGTGGCTTTGAGTTGATATCATCAAATGGCCTAACAAACTCAAAAAGCAGTGAGATGATAAGGACTTCTCATATTAGATCCTCATGGAAACAGCTGACCGTCCCCAAAGCCGGGAACCTCTCGTTTCTGTGCGCTCACAGGGACTCCTGTGGGGAGTGCGCCTCTGACTTGGACACGACGCCCATAGCGAGGGCGGCCTCCTGGATTCTCTGCTCTGGGAGACTTAAGACACAGACGCTGGGGAGCAACACTGAAGCAGAGAGTGCAGGGGAGCCCTGGGGGCACCCCCAGGGTGGAGGGCGGGACGGGAGGGAAGGGGACACAACCACCTTCCCAGCCCTGGAACTCGGGGCTCTGCAGGGCTCAAAGTGGCACTATTCTCACCACTGAGGCCACAAGACAGGAAGGAGTTACATTTTCACGAGGCGCGACCACTCAGGCCCCAAGACCCACTTCCCCTGGAGACATGCATTCTCTTGGGTGGGTGGGACATGAAGCAGAGGCCAGAGAAGAAACCAAAGTGCGAAGCAGCACAGGGAAGGAGGCGCGGGAGGCCTTGCGCAGACCAGCCCTGCCCTGGGCTTCAGGACCAAGGACAGCGGCACGGGGGTTGGGTGGGGCGCTAGGTCGGGATGGCGTCTGAGGGTGGCTGAGGATGCAGCCCGAGCCCCTCGGCAAGTGGGGAGAAGGGGATACGGGGAGGTGGCAGAGGTGAGGCTGGGACACACAGGGCTCCCAGAGAAGGTGGGAGGGGGCAACAGCCTCGAAGGCACAGCCAAGCGCCAACATCGAGAACCACACGTGCCCAGGGCGGCCGGGGAAGGTCCACGAAGAACTTAGAGCCTCCAACAGGAGATCTCCCCACTCGTGAGCAAATTCTAACCCAGGAACACTGGCCAATCCAACATCCCAAATGGCCACGGGATCGAGGTGCAGAGAAGTCTGATGGGATGAAGAAATCAGCCCAGATTCAGGGACCAACTGCGCCCCCCCTGGGCTGTCTCCCCACAGAGCTGATGCTCCGCAGAAGTCCACACTCTACCTGTGCGGGGGATGCGGGACAAGGAGGAGAGGCGTCTCCCAGGGGGACTCTGAGAGCAGCAAATCCACTGAAAAGAGGGAACACAGCAAGCGACACCAACGAGCAAGCGCCTGACACTGGAAGGAAGCCTCCAGCACGCTGGCTCCCACCCAGCAGCCTGGCCCCCGGGAAGTCCCTCCATCCTGAATCACAGGTTTTTCCGAGCAGGAGCCCGGTCCCCAGCCTCTCGGTGTTTAAGTAAGAAGCATCATCTGGTCCAGGTGTTCAGGGCAGAGCTGGTGCAGAGTTCAAAAGAATGTGTAAGCCAGGGCTTCCCTGGTGGCGCAGTGGTTGAGAGTCCGCCTGCCGATGCAGGGGACACGGGTTCGTGCCCCAGTCCGGGAAGATCCCACATGCCGCGGAGCGGTTGGGCCCGTGAGCCATGGCCGCTGAGCCTGCGCGTCCGGAGCCTGTGCTCCGCAACGGGAGAGGCCGCAACAGTGAGAGGCCCGCATACCACAAATAAAATAAAGAATGTGTAAGCCAAAATCTACCAAGATGGTTTTAAGATGAACACTTAAGGTCCTTTTCAGAGAGGTCAACAGGTCAACCTCAGGCCAAAGAGGAGTGGGCCATCATGATCCTTCTTTCCCCGTCCTTTACTACCCAGCCCCGAGTGTTAACAACACACGCCACACCCCGCTGGGCAGGGACAGGCGGGCTGCTCCCCGCGGGACGGTGTGCCCACTGCCCCTGGGTGATGTCAGTGCCAACGGACACCCTCACAGCCTCACGCAAAGGGCCCTGAGGAAGGGCCAGCAGAGAGGTGCTTGGGGTCGGGGGCTCTAGGCATCACGGAGCATTGCTGGCGACTCTGGAAAGCAAAGGGGCGGGGACAAGAAATGGGGGCGCTGGGAGACTCAACGTGCCTGCAGGAAACAAGCCAAGGAAGGGCCGGGGCTGGTGCGGTCAGGGTGGCGGGGAGGGGCCCTGGCAGCTGTCACGGCTGCATGTCACAGTTGCTCCTGGTGTCCACGTCTCCAACCAGGCTGCGGGCCTGGGATCTAGAGAGACGGGCACCTCCAAGCACACCAGAGTTGTTTCCAGGGTGGCCACGTTCCCCAGAGGAAAGACACCTTCATCCACCTGCGCTGCAAAATCAGGGTCATGATTCACTCAGAAAGGGAGAAGAGAGCCCCCGACCTTGTCAGTGCTCTTACTACCAGCGCTGTCTCTACAATGTCAAAACTGAACTTAAAGCGTATCTGAGAACAGATCTGTGGGCTGAGGGCCATGGACTTTTATTTTCCGCGGCTGATGTCTCTGAGCACCTGCTTCTGGAACAAGTTAACAGAAGATGGTGACAGATTAACTTACACTTCGCGTAGACGTCTCGACAAGACACGCCCGTGATCTCCAGCTTCCGCAAGTTTTCACAAACGCCGTACTCTGCAACAAGAAACGTTTGCTGGAAATTACAGTCAAGAAGTCATAAAGCAGCAGAAATATTAATAGACAGACGTGTGGGTGGGGGTGGAGCAGGCACGCCTCAGCCTTGACCTTGTCTTCTCAGCCTGACCCTTCTTTCACTGTGGAGATTTCATGGCCCTTCTCCACATTCAGTCAACACCCTCACTCACCAATGAAGCCACTACTCTATTTTTAGGCAACTCCACTCCGCATGAAATAGCAACCTGCCATGTCTATTCTGATAAGCTCTAGAAACCTAATCGCTCAAACTCACAACCAGACACCCTGGTTTATGACCACGGTGTGGCAGAAACTCAGAGTCTGGAGACGATGCGAGTTCCCATGGAAATGAGACCATCACAGGGTTCCACGAAGGCCCCCCTAACCCCCTCCTGATTCTGTGAAACGAAGACACAGCTGGGGCTGCCCAGGACGGCCTTGAAGCAAATCCCTGACACCCACCTCCACGGCCAGCGCTCTGCCCCACCTCCGGGAGAGAAACCCAGGCGTGGAGAGGTTGGTGACTCAGCAGTCCTTCCAGAAGGGGGACTGCAGTCTGGCCAGCAAAAGGCTGTCCACCTCATCACATCACATCACAGACCCCACCCCGGCCCCGAGGCCTGGTCTTTTCAGTGGAATGGATGGTGACACTAGCCCAATGCTTCTGTGAGGATTTTGACCACATCCAAGCCAAGCTCAAGATGCAGACGGTGGAGAAACCAGTTGGGGCAAGGCGGTTAGCACCTGGCAAACCTCCCCGAGATGGGCCTGCCCGATGGTGCTGCTTCCCCTGCTTCCACTGCTGACGAGCAGACCATGGCCTTGCCCATCACCAGACAAAAACACACGTTTTATCCTCCTGCCAGGAAGAATGTGGACTCCACTCTGGAGTGTTATGCAAGTTACAAGAACTTGTCAGGAACTAGATAAAAAAATGTGCTTGTTTGTGACCTTGGACGGGGTGACACCTGCATGTCACATGAGTCACCAGCAACTGAGAGGCCCTGGTTTGTCAAAATCCTTGCAGACCATGCCAGGGACCAGCTGGAAGGGCCACTCCCGCCCTTGTTGGCGACCAAGCTGCAGCTGGTCTACCGGTGCTCTTGAGAAGAGCTCTGCTCCACAACGAGCTGTCTTCATGATTCCCCGTCTGCTCTGGGATGTCCACCACAGCCAGGTGGCCCTCCTGACGACCACAGTGGCTGTCACCACCTCGTGTGCTCTCCATAAACAGTGTCCTTCCCTCGCACCAACCAGGCACTCCAAAACCGTCACCGCACAAGACTGGTGCCTCGGTTTGTTTCCTATGTGATGCTAAAGGACAGGTCCTCTCCCGGTTCCAGCAGTGACCAGCGCACGGGATAGATGAGATGCACCTCTTGCTGCCTTGTTGACGAGACAGTTTGGGAGCCGGGGTACGGGTGGGGCGCGGGGTAGTCTTCTCTGAACTGCGCGCTTTTGTGATACATGTGGACACTCTGCCGGTGAGATGCAGGGCACAGACCCAAGGCGCATCCGAGTGTGCCCCGGCAGCCTGCAGCACACCGAAGCAGCAGTGTTGCCCCACAGCATCTGCCGACCCAGCGGGTGATGTTCGCGCCTGAGCCCAGCGATCCTCCGACCTGCGAGAGACAACGCACCTCATCCCAGCACCCGCTCAGACTTCCAAGCGATTCTAAGGTTTTTAGCCAGGATGACCAAATTGTCAAGAATCTCTGCACATCGTGTCAAGAGAAGGTGCTGATAATATCACACAAGAGATGACCCTGCACGAGCAGACAAACCATCCACAGGAACACCACTAGCAATCAAAAGAAAAGCAAAAGCATGATGCAGTGCTCATAAATACAGCAATGCTTAGTGGGTTTTTCTTAATGTTCCCAAAAGATACTAAATTCACCGAAGCAGAACAATGTCATTCTGACCCAACTGCTCCTTCAAGAAATGTTCAGTATTTTTCAGATGATGGAAAAATCTTTTTTTTTTTAAACAGTGGCTCGGAACAATTCCACATACTCTGACTGTTCCATAAACCTTCCCATAAGTCATCAGGGAAAGTGCCCTTAAAATAGCATTAAGGCCAGTGTACATGCAGAACCACGGATCCTTCCCCCTAGAAAAACTCACCAGTGTTAACGCCATCCTACCCAAGACCAGCATTAACGCCGTCCTACCCAAGATGGTTAAAGTTAGCACAGCAAACCGTGCTGCCCACAGCTGCTTTCTAAGTGCCAAATTTGGGTTGCAGGCTGCCGATTCAAATACTTTCCTTGCTAATCTATGACATAAAGTAGCTTGTGAAAGTCTGTTTTCAAAGTGTCTACTCCAAAAATGGCAGCAAGTAAAAAGAAAGTTGGGAAGGGGGAGAAAAGTGGGTCAGCTGGACTTGAGGAAATTTAAATTAACCATGGAATTACCATATGATACAGCTATATCCTATTTCTGGGTACGTACCCAAAAGAGATGAAAGCAGAGACTCAGAGATGTTTGTACACCCATGTTTATAGCAGCACTACTCACGATAGCCAAGAAGGGGAAGCAACCCAAGCACCCATCGATGGATGATGGTCAAGCAAAACAGGGTCCATCCACACGATGGAATATTATTCAGCCTTAAAAAGGAAGGAGAGTCTGACACCTGCTATAGCCTGGCCGAACCTTGAGGACGCTGTGCTGAGTGAGATAAGCAGTCACAAAAGGACAATATTGTATGACTCCACTTACATGACGTCCCTATAGAATAGCCAAATTTCACAGAGACAGAAAGCAGAATGGTGAGTGCAGGGGCTGAGAAAGGGAAAACGGGGACTCAGTGTCAGCTGGATGAGACGGAAAGGTTCTGGAGACGATGGGGGTGACGGCTGCACAACAGTGTGAACGCACTCAACACCACTAAACTGTAGCTTAAAAATGGTTAAAGTGGCCAATTTTATTTTGTGTATATGTTCCCACAATAAAAAAATTAAGTTGCCACTTCAAATACTCCAATCAGAAAATTTCCAGAAAGCTATTGAACAAATGTTTTGCCAAGACGGAAAAAGAGCCCAGGAATCTGGGCCAAGTCGACACTGAAGCTCCGTCCTCTGGTGACCTGACTGCCAGGGGCGCACTTCCTGTCCAGTGAGGTCAGTACTGTGTGACGGTCGTTACCGAAAACCCCTGCACCCAGAGCATGTGTCTGAATGTGCAGGAAGTCTATTCAGTCTCTGCGGGTGGGAATGGGTGAGAAGAGTTTTCTCTCTCCCTCTTTTCCACTCTCTTGCCCCTACAGGAGAACCTAAGGAACACATGCTGCTTCCTGAGGCTCCTTCCCTCAAAGAGATTAACGGAGATTAACGGAGGCAGTACCTGTGCCAGCCGTGGCTGAGATGTGCACGCTCTCTGCATCGGAATGGAACATGACAAAGTTAACATCATAATTCTATGCACTGCACCAGCCTTGGTACCTGCAATTAGAGGGAACTTAGCCCCATGCTCCCCATAAATGCCACTTATAAGGGTCCCTGCCACGTTGGAAGGGCACAGCACTAAGACAGTCTCTGAAGCAAGCTGGTGGGCACACAAGATAAGGCTGGAAAGGGGGTGGTCTCCTGGTCCTGCCAGAGCCGGGAGTCCACAGGAAACGCAGAAGCACTAAAGAGTCTCAGGTAGAAAAGCAGCCTGGACTGGATAACCTGTGGGTGGAGCCAATGGAGACACACCTGGAGACGCAGGTGGGGGGGTCCCGTGAGGAGGCCACTGCACCACCAGGTAAGTCAGAGGTGGCAGGAAAGGATGGGGGAACCCAGCTGTGGCCCCCGGCAGGCAGGAGAGAGTGGGAGAAGGAAGAGTGGAGGAGCGCTGCGGGCTTGTTTCCCACCTGCTGTAAACTCACACAGTTTTCCAAATAAAACCAAAAGGCAGTATTGATTGCAAATTTAGCGCATTTTTGTTTGCACTAAATTAGGGGATAATTATATCCCTTAATAAAATATGGTTAAAACTTTACTTCCGAGAGACTTCCCTGGTGGTCCAGCAGTAAAGAATACGCCTTCCAACGTAGGGGACTCGGGTTTGATACCTGGTGGGGGAACTAAGATCCCACATGTCACGGGACAACTAAGCCCTCGCACCACAACAACTGAGCTCGCGCACCTCGATGAGAGAGCCCGCAGGCCGCAAACTAGAGAGCCCACGCGCCCTGGAGCCTGCGCACCACAACTAGAGAGAGAAAACCTGCACGCCACAACTAGAGAGAAGCCCTCACGCTGCAAGGAAGAGCCAGCGCCAAAGTGAAAGATCCTGCGTGTCGCAACTAAGACCCAACGCAGCCGAAAAAATAAATAAATAAGGAAAATAAATAAATAAAACCTTTACTTCTGAGGCTGATAAAGGAGGCAGAGGCAGGGGAGGGAGCTGGTGGGGAGGGGGCTCCGCCAGGCTCAGGGGTGTCAGGCAACTGGCCCCCAGGCTTCCTGACACAACTGTTCCGAGGACACCCCTGCGACAGCACAGTGCCGCTTCCAAACCCCTGTGTGTCCCCCAGCTCGCTGCTTTCCTTAGCTGTTACTATAACTGCATGAAATGCCTTTTTTTTTTTTTTTTGATAATGTAGCAGATCTGGAAAAACACTGTGCAGCCAGCTCATCTTAGGATGGGAAGAATGTAAAAACCAAAACCTGGATACAGCCCATAGGCATCTCCTATTCAACACCTAGAATATTCGGGATGCTAACCAATAGTTCCCAAGAACAGCTGACAGCGCCTACATACTCCACGCGACTTCTTCCCAACCAGCTCCACCCCTGCAAAGATGAACAGTCTTGGTGCCAACAGCAGCCTCGAGAAGCCTCGCCCTGCCAGCCAGAGGACGCTGACCCTGTCCAGCTCCACGACAGGTATCCCTGGCCAAGGGAGCCCCACTCCAGCTGAAGCCCACCTGTCATGCCCGGACACTTCTTCCTGGTGCACACACACCTGCTCGGTCTCGCCAGCCACTCGTGAGACCAGGAGGTAAGCAGAGTCTGACTCTGCCATCACCTCGCCCCGGACCCCTTCTCAGATTTCAGACACTTCCCGACTCCCCACTAATACTCCTCATACAGGCTTGGCTACTCTGGGTTTCCTCTCCTGTCCATCACCACTGGGCGGACAGCGAGGGTGTCACTGGCAAAGGATGCTGACTCATGAGTTAGAACCCAGGCCGCCTCCTGACCGGTCCTGGCTTTCTCACAGGACACCTGTTCCTCCAAAGTCCCAAAGACGCCCTTGTATTTGCACACTCTTTCCAGCCAGAAAGACAAACCAAGATCCTCAAATGCATTATGTAATCACTTTGGAAACACAGCGAAACAGTGAAAACGGCCCATCAGTTCTTCCTGGCAAGGCAACCATATCTGCCCCATTAAGCAAGGCCAAGGGGAAATCTTCACTCGGTGCTTTCTGGAGGCCAGGTCCACTTTCCAGCTCGCTTTTGTAAGGTTAGCAATGTCCCTCAAGAGGCACCGTTTTCCTTTACCCTTTCCTACTTCGCTAACTGGACGGATGAGGTTTCTCTGTGAAGCAGCACATGAGATTGGACTTCCAAAAATACAGAGACTGTAGTCCTGACAAGAGCAAAGCGGAAGAAAAGGATAAAT